TGCCAACCAGCGCTCTTCACAGTCCCCAGCTGCAGGTAGACTGACTCCCTGCCAACCAGCGCTCTTCACAGTGCCCAGCTGCAGGTAGACTGGCTCCTTGCCAACCAGCGCTCTTCACAGTCCCCAGCTGCAGGTAGGCTGGCACTCTTAGCGGCTCTCCCTCGAGTGCTGGGGTGTCTCAGCCGTTCTCACCCTGGGGTCTTGCACATTTCTCAGGTGGCTCCGGAATGGAACAGAGGTGGACTGGGAAGGTGACTTCCGCTATCGGCTGCTGGACGGCACCCTGGTCATAAGCAGCCCCAGCGAGGTGAAGGATGCCGGCCACTACCAGTGTGTAGCCTCCAACACCTTTGGAAGTGTGCTCAGTAGAGAAGCGACGCTGCAGTTTGCCTGTGAGTAAACACATCCTTCCCATATATTACATACACACTTTAATTCAGTAAAAATTAAGTAAAAATTTAAGATTGTCCTGACACCATGGTCAGCATTAAAAGAATGCAGAAATGTTTTTCTCCTTGAGATATTTTGAATTTTCTTGACATATTTGTTGTCTCCAAAATGAACCTGACATACTAGTATGGGAGGTTTAAAAAAATCCTATTCATTAAAGCAGATAAAATTTTAGAACAGCTACTTAGCTGCTTTTTATTCTCCTGCTGTCGGTTGCCTTAACTGTTTCCTGTAGATCACTCACAGCATAAAATAGTCTTTCCTAGAAACTCCGTAGGCAACCCCGGTGATGGTTCTTGTATTTCAGATTTTTAGTATAGTTGCCCGATAGCCTGACTCTTGTATTAAAAAACAGAGACCACAGAGACGCGTCTGGTGTGCTGCATTGCTGTGCGCCAGCCAGGTAGACGCGTGACGGCGTTCTCGCAGGGCTCCATTGTCTAGCAGTGCCACCGGCGTGTTCTGTGTGACTTCCCTTTCTTATGACATGTGCCCAGTGACAAAGTCACGTGATGCGTTTCTCAACTCATGTTGTCACAATGTGTGACTGTGTAATACACTATGTGTTTTCTAAAGAGTCTATATTTGATTAGCTCAATAATTCTCAATAAACTCAATTCTCGGTAAACACTTGAAATTATTTCCCTTATGGGGAGCACATGCCAATAGAAGAGATGAGCTACCATGTGAAAACTTTCACACTGTTTTACAGTACATAATCCTATTTAAATTTAAACTTTGGAGGATTACAATCTTCAAGAAAATGAAGAGGAGGGCCAGAAATCCTTGTAATAAAATATCAAACTGTATCAGCTAAGTAAGTTATCATTTAATGAGGCTTAAGCTAAAATTATAATCTGAAGAGTGAAACAATTGATTTTTCTTGACATAATCTTTCTCACATAATTAACCTTGAATCCAGACACCTCATTATAGAAGTGTAAAGAACAAAAGAAATGAATTACAGGTTGATAATGAATCCAGTTTGGATAGCAATGAGCCAGGTTCCAGAAAAATCTGAATGCTGTCTTTTAAAGTAGAATTGCCGAAGGTTTTCAGATAGGTACATTTATCAATGTAAAATGTATCAAGATAGTAGCTTGAAAATACTGTTTTTATTTTCAGATACTATGTATAGTGTTTCAGAGAGCCTAACTAACACTTTCTTCATGCATATTAACAAGATAACATACTGAATGGAGCAAATAACTTTTTACTCTTCAATAGAGGGACCTTCTGAAGACAGACACAGCAAAACCAGAAACCATGATACACCAATAATAATGATCCATATTATCTGACACGCTGTAGTTCTTATTAATAGACTATATGTATACATTGTTTTTCTTCCTACAGTGGTTTTTTTCTGCATGCTTACCATAGAAATTGCTTTCTGGAGGACCCTCACATCCACAGCCGGTGCCTTCCTAGGCTTGGCTGCACGTGTGGACAGCTGTCTAACAGTTATCTACCGTGGGGCACGCATTCCTCCTCCCCCCCCCCCCCGCGAAGCCCTGGCGGATGACCTCACCTCATCAGATCAAAGCCATCCTACACCTCAGTGAGAGCTGTGCTTGCTTATTTTCACTTAAACATCGGGGGAGAACTACCTGTGCATCAAGTTTGGCTTCTTCTTAGAGACCTCCCTCGGGCTGTAGGTTAGAGACGCAGAACTGTGTGTGCCCGGTCGAAGCACTGGGTCACCTGTCGTGACCTTGAAATCCGCAACCTGCCTGGGCATGGCTGTGTTTGTTTATGGTATTAAAGATTGAGTCCTTTGGCTTGATCTGCGTGAACTTGTGGTTTTAGAGGAAGTGTCGGCGTGGGTGATGCAGAGTGGTCCTCCTGCCGTGCCGTGGGCACACGCCTGGCACCGAGGGCTGGCAGGGAGCCGAGGCTGGGACTCACGGAGTGGCCTGAGGGAGGGGCTGGGCGCAGAGGGGCCCTCCGGCCGCGCAGCACCATCCCTGCCAGAAGCCAGCAGCCAGGTTAATTATCCTGAAGAAATCCAGGTCTCCTTAAATGTAAGGAGGATGAGCCACGAGTTACACACTCAATTCACTGATGAGTTTTTAAACCTACTTTTGATTTGAGCAGCCCACCGATCTGAATACCCAAAGCTCGCTTGCCCCCCGCCATCCTGACACACCGTTCAGTGTGTGCCCGTGGGGGGTCTGCCAGGTTCTAAGTGGATTTTTATCAAAATGGTTCCAATTAGTTACGACTAATACTGTAGTTTAGCATTCATAAATACCTCACAAGGGTATAGTAAAAATTAATGAGGAGGAGTTATGTTGGCAACCTTGTTTTCTAATACAGAAAGACATAAATGCACATGAAACTGCATGCTGTTGCTAGTGATGATTGGTTACTGGTTATCAGTAAGATTGCTCTTGTCGCAATATATTGTATTCCTGGAGTGTGTGTGTATCACGAGCGTAACCCCTCCCTTGCCTCGTGACAAGCAAGCATACTGCGGGACACGCTGTCATCTGCCAGCTCAGGGCCACGCGGCCCAGAGCACGGCGCGCTCCCCCCTCAGAAACTCCAAGCTCAGAGCAATTTCTCCAAAGGTGGGAGTTTTAGAAATAACTCATGTCAGCAAGTCAAACATGAAATGAATCAAGAAGAAAATCTCCTCATGCTCATGTCTCTTGCTTTAAAAATATCTTCATAAGCAATCCTTGGTAAATTGATAGTTCATATCTGAATTTGAACATACTGCTTTTCAGGGCATGTAGATGATTTAGATCCAGAATATTCCATTAGTTTTCCTGAAGCAGTTGATTAAAATAACCTCCTAAACTTTTGAGAGATTATGACTCATGGGCTTTGTATTTAAGCCCTTTTATTTAACCTTTCATCTCCATACAAAACTCAGAAATTATTTCTCAGGCTTTTCCCTCACTTTTCCTCCTAAAATAAAATTGACCTTAGACTTTGAAACCACACTTTGCTAGTGTCTAACAGGTAATGAAATTATTTGGATAATTGCTAACTCCACAGTATATCCGAAGCTTTATTTCATTAGTCTATGAGCCTTTGTCCATAATAACTTTATTAACTCATTTGAATATTCATCTGAGTGGAAGGAGTCACACTGCCAAGGATGAGCCCATAAGCCGTAAAGTTACCACGTTTGCCTGTGAAATAATTGTTTTATCTCTTTCTTACGTACATAAACAATCAGGTTTTAAAAAAATAAAATTGACTACTCACAGAAAGACACAGTTTAAATGTTCCTTTAAAAAAACAGTCACTATGGTCATACTCAATGTGTCATTTGTGGTTTTGGTTTAAACAAAGTTTAAACGAAGTGGTTAAAGCCAGGCACTGGTGGCTCACACCTGTAATCCTAGCCACTCAGGAGGCTGAGATCCGGAGGATTGCAGTCTGAAGCCAGTCCATACAGGAAAGTTAATGAAACTCCTATCTCCATTTAACCAACAAAAAGCTGGAAGTGGAGCTGTAGCTCCAGTGGTAGCACACCAGCCATGAGAGAAAAAGACAAGTAAGAGCATGAAGCCTTGCGTTCTAGCCCAATACTAGCACCAAGTTGTTAAGAGCATATCAAATTTGAAAATGGAGCGGCCTCAAATCTGTTACTTTGTGTCAATTCTAGATTTGCCAGCCTATGTTTACTATAAGTACTTTCTGAATTTTCTGAATTGTCCTTAGTGAAAATGCACAGGCACTCTTAAAACATTCATAGAAAGTCGTAATAAACAACACAATTCAGACAGAAAAAAATCTTACCAGAAGTGGCGCTGTGGCTCAAGCAGCCTTGAGCTGAAGAGCTGAGGGACAGCGTCCAGGCCCAGAGTTCAAGCCCCATGACCGACCAAAATAAATAAATAAATAAATAAATAATTTTAAAACTACTTAAAAAATCTTACCAATTACAAAACCCAGAATTGTAAGGGATCTTTTACCATACTTAGTTTGAATATAAATAGGTAAATGAGGGTAATTAATCTTGCTGTATAAATCACTTAACCCTAAATAGATGGGTGTAATATTTCTATATTTAAAATGTATAGCAACAGTTGTGAGAGTATTAATGAATGCAATTAACATAAACACAGATGTTGACATTTGTTATTTTGTATGCCCTTGGTAACAACTTTGTATTGGGATAAGTACCTGAGGATGGCTGAGATGTCACAGAGGAGCACCGAATCCTTGCCTGTCTGGCCGGATGGCTTCACTGCGGCTGGACTGAGGAGAGGAGTGCAGTTCTAGAATTCTAGCACCGTCCCTCATTGGCGTGGGACAGTGAATGCCTCTGTCTGCTGCGTGGCCTCCTTGAGTTTCAGGACAGAGGGACGGAACTGAGCAAACCAAGCAGCAGCCTTGCTCTCAGCTTCCTAGAAAAGCACGAGCAAGAGCTCACTATCCCAAGATGAGTGCCACAGCCACGCCCACAGCAAGGTCAAGCCAGAGACACCCCCACAGCACAGCAAGGTCAAACCAGAGACCAGCCCACAGCACAGCAAGGTCAAACCAGAGCACCCCCACAGCACAGCAAGGTCCAGCCAGAGCACCCCCACAGCACAGCAAGGTCCAGCCAGAGCACCCCCACAGCACAGCAAGGTCAAACCAGAGCACACCCACAGCACAGCAAGGTCAAACCAGAGCACACCCACAGCACAGCAAGGTCAAGCCAGAGACACTCCCACAGCACAGCAAGGTCAAACCAGAGCACCCCCACAGCACAGCAAGGTCAAACCAGAGCACACCCACAGCACAGCAAGGTCAAACCAGAGCACCCCCACAGCACAGCAAGATCAAGTCAGAGACACTCCCACAGCACAGCAAGGTCAAGCCAGAGCACGCCCACAGCACAGCAAGGTCAAACCAGAGCACGCCCACAGTGAGGTCAAATGGGCACAGCCACATACCCTACTTTGGATCAAGCTTACCGTAGTCCCTGCCACTTGAG